ATTCTATTCTATTCTATTCTATTCTATTCTATTCTATTCTATTCTATTCTATTCTATTTCTATTTCTATTTCTATTTCTATTTCTATTTCTATTCTTAATTCCCGCACTTTTCCCTTTCCCTTGGCCAGAATCTAGTAGAGAACTGAAGCTTGCAAGAAATCTTTATACTCATTTGAACTTGACGGAGTCTCCCGGTTTCCCAGGCATCTGACACATGCACCCATCCTCATCTTATAAGCTCCATGACATGCCTTGAATTGTTGAGGGTCTTTTTCTACTCATTTTTAAAAAGGGAATTTCTGCCTTTTGCCGGTGAAGTTTTAACCAGACACACATGATGCTGTTTCCTTCCTAACTGAAATCAGCTTGCTCCATTCTTCTAGCGTTAAGACCAGCCACGAAATAATCGATGCAACACCAACACTTATTTCTGTATTTTAAAAGGATTCACGTTTAATTCAGTGGACTAACATTATGTGTATAAGGTAACCTTGTAGTGTATCCTGAGGGTTTCGCATTGCTTCCTCATAAACTTAGCTGCTCCCTTCACCACTTCGCCTCTGGCTTCAGTCTCTTAATGGAGCCACAGTGAACTTGGTTTGGCTTTTCGGTGGCTTCTTTGGCAGAGAAAGGGCTGCTGGGTTGAATTTCTCTGCCCCACCCAGCACTCCTATTGCCCTATGAACCACTTTGGCAAAAAATAAAGGCTTTCATTTGTGCCTCCCTTTGTGCAATTTCCAGTTTAAAACCCTCACTGTTCTCTCTTTTGTAAAATAATTTTTATTAAAGCTTTTTTAAAAGAAAAATAAAAAATTAATGCACACTAATATAAAGCAAGAGAAAGCAAAAAAGAAACAAATCAAAGAGAAAGCTAAAAGTGCAAGAAAGGGGAGGAAAGTAAAAGAAGACTAGAAACAAAGACAAATAGCTTCAGAATAGAATAGAACAGAACAGATGAAGGGAAGGGAGAATAGAATAGAATAGAATAGAATAGAACAGAACAGAACAGAACAGAACAGAACAGAATAGAATAGAATAGAATAGAATAGAATAGAACAGATGAAGGGAAGGGAGAATGGAATGGAATAGAATAGAATGGAATGGAATAGAATAGAATTAGAATTCTTTATTGGCCAATAGTGATTGGATACACAAGGAATTAGTCTTGGTGCAAATGGTCTCAGTGTAGATAAAAAGAAAGGATACATTCGGCAAGAGTCAAGAATCATAAGGTACAATACTTAATGGTTAAAAATACTCATTGGGTAAAAATAAGCAATCAAATCATACTAGGAAACAGTCAATATAGGTTGTAAGGATACAAACGACAAAGTTATAGTCATACAGTCACAATGGGAGGGGATGGGTGATAAGGAGTGATGAGAAGATTAATAGTAGTAGTAGTGCAGACTTAGTAAATAGTTGAACAGTGTTGAGGGAATTATTTGTTTAGCAGAGTGATGGCTTTCGGGGAAAAACTGTCCTTGCATCTAGTTGTTCTGGTGTGCAGGGGTCTATACTGTCGTTTTGAGGGAAGGAGTTGAAACACTTTATGTCTGGGATGTGAGCGGTCTGTAGATATTTTCACAGCCCTCTTTTGGACTTGTGCAGGGTACAGATCCTCGATGGAAGACAAGTTGGTAGTAATTGTTTTTTCTGCAGAAGACCCTAAAACATTCTAGACAAATGGCTGTCCTGTCTCTTTATTTGTTCCCTGGGACAGAGAGCGATTTCTCTCCGTTTATCTGCCAGCTGGAGCTCTGCCTTTTAAGGACTTGTGCAATCGACTTTCTGCATGCAAAAGCAAGCCCCGTACGCAACTCTTGGAAGTTTTCAAAGTCAAGCAGTCGAGGAGAGAAAAACCACTTCTTTGAGCTGGCTGGGAGACAAAGGCCCAAGCCGATGGGAATTGGAACAGGCTGAGGGGTGCTGAAAAGTGGTCAATCCAGATTTTGCCATGCAGCCAGCCTGGCTTGTGTAGGAGGGAAAGGGTGTGCCACCCAGGAGGGAGAAGTGATAGGGAGGCAGGAGAAAACCCACTCGAGGCAACAAGAAGCAACACGAAGGCGACATGTGGAGGGGAGGGGGAAAGATTTGCCACGGAGAGGTGTCGCATGAAAAACCTGCTTTAAAATATCTGAACGTTTGTTCCTTGCAGACTATGCCAAAGAACATCTAGCCCAGCTGCAAGAGAAGGCTGAGCTCATCTCGGGGAGGATGTTGCGGTTCACCGTTTTCTATCGGAATCACACTAAAGAGTATTTCCAGTATGTCAGGTAAGCATTGGCAAAGCCCCCCCAAATCCGTGAAGGCATGGGGGAGAATCCAAGTGTGGATGTGGGGTATTGTGTCAATGACAACGACATCTACCAGCCATGTTCACTGATCTCTTGTCTTCTTCATCCAAATTCTTCCCCTCCTGATAGTTGTCAGGGCTCCAACAAATCCACCCTTATTCAAATCACAAGTCTCTAGTCGCGTCTCAGAGTAAAAACAAAAACTTTTATTAGGAACGGCCATGTTGGCATTAGTTGGGTGCAGCTGACACTAAAATGCATCATTCATTTCCCCCTTGACCCTGGTCTCCCCCCCCCAACCCCTGGATGTATATTCTCCAATGGGACACATCCATAGCCAAGAGTCATCAATCATGCTCTCCAGTAATATTCTTGCACGCCGACAGCTTTGCCAAGGCGAATATCTAAGGCATTTGAGGAATGCACTGCTTTTCCCGACTCCCTTTCTGATGGCAACTAAAATGACCAAAGGAGTATTTTTTTTTTAGTTGACAATAGCTATGATTAAAACATGGCTGGGAGGTGGAGTGAAGTGACTTCATTCCAAGAGCTAGGCTTGACTTAGATCAGGGTATCAAACTCAAGGTCTGCGGGCCAGATGCGGCCCTCGGGGTGCTTAAATCTGGCCTGCGAGGCTACCCTGGGAACAGCGAGGGACCGGCCTATAGGCAGGGTAGCCTTGCAGGTCAGATTTAAGCAGTCCCATGCTCCGTTTTCTCTGGCAGTTTGCAGGAGGCTGTCACAGCTGAAAACGGAGCTCGGGAGCCCGTTTTCACTGGCAGAGGGCTCGGGCCACCACAGGCGCCTCTGACACAAGTGACATCAAGCTGACCATGCCCACCCTGACCATGCCCCCCCCCCCCCCCCCCCCCCCCCCGAGGTCAAAGACAACCTTGATGCAGCCCTCAATTAAATTGAGTTTGACACCTCTGGCCTAGATGCTTTCAGTTGCCATTTCTGTAGTCTTAAGATCTAGTGCTTGGCATCTTCCATCTTTCAAATGTGTGGACTTCAACTCCCAGAATTCCCCAGTCATAGGTAATCACTGGGGAATTCTGGGAATTGAAGTCTGCATATCTGAAAGATGCCAAGGTTGAGAAACACCGCTCCAGATTATACTCTTCTGATCTGATGGCTTGGAGCAGAGCGAAGAAAGCCTCATTAAGGAAATGCTAATCATAGCATCCATATTTTTATATCCATCCATCGTCCTGTTTTTAAAAAATGTCTTAACAATATCTTATCTTTTACAGTTAAAGCTTGTTTCAAATTCTCCCTAAGAAATGAGAATATAGTCACACTAGCATTCCTCATTGTTCCCATACTGATCCACAGACATTAAATGTTAGCTTATCCTTCCAATGAATTAAGATAACTCATCTCATCTTCCACCTTCCCATGGTTCTGTTGCTTCACAACAACGTCCTGCAGATGTTCTTTTGAACGTCAGAGATTGTATTCATCCTTTCCTGCTCCTAGCCTAAAACTCAGAACCAGCACGTAACATGACCACTCATAATCACTACACCATGTGATCTTAGTTTACCCTTCCTCCAAGACTTAAATCATGACTAGACAATTCTTGCCCCCTTGGTTCATTATTTCAGGGATGTTTCCTGACAAAATCCTTCAATGCTTTCAACAGGGGCAGAGTTTTTAATGGACCATGTTTCCCTGAAAATAAGACCCGGTCGCCAACTCATAAAACATTTCGCTCAAGAATCATGATTTTATTAGAGCGATTGCTGGAATCCCGACATCGGTCTTATATATATATTTTCCACCCAAAAAGGCACCAGGTCTTATTTTCTGGCCCACTTCTGCGGCTGCTTGTTGCCTCTTGCGCATATTGCCCCCGGCCTCCCTTTCGCTGTCAGAGGCCTTCCGGAAATGTCTCTGCAGCTGATAACAGAGCTCCGGATTGTTCCTAGTAGGTAGGACAGCTCCACCCACCATCCCCACACTAGCTTAATTTTTAACTTCACCCCACCCTTGGCCCTGGAGTGGATGGGGGCTTAATTAGGGCTTATTTTGGGGGGGGGGTAGGGCTTAAATAGGGTGCATGTATAAAAATCAAGCTAGGACTTACTTTTGGGGTAGGTTATATTTTCGGGGAAACACAGTACTTGAAAAGTTCTTAAAATTTCAGGGAGATATTCAGAAATGTATCTGTCCTGGAAGTAGGCCACATTCAACTGTATAGCACAGTCAAACATCAGCAGCTGACCAAGGGAAATGATTTATGACCTTTTGTATTGTGTTGTAAAATGTTTGTGCTTTTATGTTACAAAATGTTTTATAAAATTTGCCAAATTTCAATTCAAAGGACCTAGATGGGACCTGGATTTTGGATGCATCCTGTAATTTAGTCCATTTGAGGTACCTTATCAAAAGGTTTTGCCTTATAGTACATCAGTTTGCCCAGTTAAAGGTTCCAGATATGGGTCTTATTAGTAGTGTTTGGATAGATTCAAAATGCTCTTACTTCCTCTTTGTGTAAGCTATGATGTTGTGCCTGGCTGAGAGTCACCTAGCAAACTACATAGCTGAGATAGGGTTTAGCAGGTCTTCCAAATTGAAACCTTAATTCTTTAATTACCATGCTAACTCCGATTTCTTCTCCCTGAGGTAGGAAAATGGAGGATATCTGAGGCCATAAGCCACCCAACCTGCTCTTAGCCACTGTTTAATGAACATTCTCTATTATTCACTTCCCGAAAATGGTAGGTCTTGGTGACATGTAGCTATGAAGGCCTATCACCTACCTGGTTTCCTCCCAATTGAAAGGTTGGCCTGACTCCTAACATCCCTTTCCTAACTATCCGTGTCTCCCTTCTGGCCAGAATGCACTGTGGAGGCGTCATGAAGCCATATTTGAAGGACAACAGCGGCAGCCATGGTTCACCCACCAGTGGAATGCTCCATGGCATCTTTTTCAGCTGCAATACTGAGTTCAACAATGGCCAGCCTCCCCAAGACTCCCCTTATGGCCGCTACCGTTTCCAGGTGCCCGCACAGCGCCTTTTCAGTCCCAACACCAACCTCTACTTTGCGGATTTCTACTGTATGTACACTGCCTACCATTACGTCATTCTGGTGCTGGCGCCAAAAGGTTCTGCCGGAGACCACTTTTGTCGGGAGAGACTCCCCCAGTTGGACATTTCCTGCAACAAGTTCCTGACCTGCAGCGTGGAGGACGGCGAGCTTATCTACCGTCATGCCCAGGATGTCATCCTGGAGATCATTTATACGGAGCCCGTTGACCTCAGTCTAGGAGTTCTGGGGGAGATCAGTGGCCATCAGCTCATGAGCCTCTCGACGGCCGATGCCAAAAAGGATCCAAGTTGCAAGACATGTAACATCAGCGTGGGGCGCTAGAGACGGGGAAGGGTGGGGAAGGAGATGGGACAAACACCAGTATGAGAGTTCTTGGTGAGCCCCATGGCCCTTCAATGTACATGTGACCATCTGAAAACGGGGTCCACCTTGGGTGACGGGGATGCTGGAGAAGTCCCCCCCCCTTTTTGCTGTCCTTGCCTCCTTTCTCTCCCCCTCTCTTCTTGCATGTTTCCTTGCCATTGTAAATAAGGTTTTTGGATTTGGGAAGTGAGAACGAGGGAGAGCATGCAATCAGGTCAAGGTTGAAGGACCTGCATTTCCAGGTTTACTAAGGACAGCCCTCAATTTTTTTTGAGGTCTCTTCTCCAAGAAAACTATCCAGTTCTCTTCCATTTCCCAACCCAAGTCAAACGGACATTTCACTTTGCACAAACAGCAGGTAGTCTGGCCAGTTTCCTAAGCAAAATATATTAACTAGAAGTACCTCTCCATCTCCTACCTTGTTCCTTTTGGCCGATTTCTCCACACAATGAACACTATTCCCCCCTCCCCCCGCAAAACGGGTTCTCTTCATCCGTAGCACGATTTACTTTTTTTAAAAGAACTACGTTGAAGGTTGGAAGAAGACATCTCCCCACCACCTTCTCGAAGGGTCCTGGGTTCAAAGCACATCTGGCACAAAGACCACCTCAACTAGGCTTAGTGGGTAGCACAAGCTTAAACCTGGGATGGGCATGTAGGCTAAAGAAGGAAAACAGCGAAGGGATTCTTACGTAGAGATTCTTTCTTTCTGTTTTTTTTGCTCATTTCCATGGGGTGTGACTCCTTATTATTTATATCCTTTATTTATTTTGACTGAAGAAGACAAGGGGAGAGGGAACAACAGGTTCTAACAGGTGTACTAGAAACTGGAATGCTGATGGGTGATGTTGCTATGTGAACATGCCCAGCTTGGCTTCCCTGTTTTCCATGATAACCGATTACAGATCCAGGCTGGCAAAGCTCATACCTGCTTTTCATTCTGGGTTGGGGTTCTGAAGAAGGGGAAGAAAGAAGTTGGAGCCACAGGGGAGTTAGACAGAAAAACAAATCACTCAACAGTTGGATGCTATCTTTCCCCTCCACTGTTGTGATTCGTTTTGCTTTTCCACCATGCAGGAGGCACTGAGAGCTCCAGGTTTCGTATCTTAAGTTTGCAGCTCCCATGAACCTGGAATGCGATTTGTGATTTCATAGGTTTGTGTGAACCCAGCTGTTGCGGTTTGCAAACCACGGTTGATGTACCTCGGAACGAGGAGTCAGTAATTGTTGTTGGCTTAGGGAACTTGTTCTTCCCTAAGCCAACAATAATGGCTTAGGGAAGAACAACTGGCTGAGCATCATACCTGAAATAAGCCACAAGCATAATGCAGGTAGTCCTAGACTTATGACCATTTGCTCAGCAACCTAGGGTCTTCCCTGCTCCGCATAATGACTGCCATGGGGAGAGCCAGGATTTCGTGGGCACCTTTGCTTAAAAACACAGCAACAACAACGCCCGCAATTCTGGGCTCGCTTGTGGTCATAAATGGAAGATTATCTGTCTATCTACCTTATATAGCTTTGTTTCCTTCTTTTTTTCCAAAGAGACCATAGAGTGAAAGCTTCTCCCATTTTTGCTACTAACTTCAGATTTTAATCTCAGCAGCCAGGAGGTGCTGTATACACTGGGTATCCCACGGACCATGACAGCTGCACAATTTTGAATAGAGACCTAATGTGCCATTCAGTGCGCTGAGCTTTATGGCTTCAATCTAACCATGGCAAGCAGGTTGGGGCATCCTCCAGAAGGAACTTCTCTTGGCTTGTAAGGAGAAAGCTTCATTTGCAGCCACTCCCCAGCTCTGCCGTCTTGACGTACCCATGCCTTCCGTCCATCACCGGGAACCGGCTTCCTGGGACAGGCTAGACCTGCTCTTGACAGCTGCTCCTCACATCTGCCAACCACCCTCTTTAGGCTGAAGGCTTGGCCTCCATCATAGGGAGTATTTTTTTTTCCTATGGGTTTTCTTGGGTTGTATGAGTGATTGTTTCCCTTTTATCAGGGCATAGCTGCAGATAGCATCCTTTCTTTCCGCAGGGAACTTTGAGAAAACTTGAATGTCAAGAAATTCTGGGCCTTCCTTCTTTACTGGTCGGTTAAGATGTGACTTGAGATCTTAAAGAGAATTCATTTTGTAGCAGCAAGTTAGAAGCCTGAGGCCTGGGAGAAAGCCAGCTCCCCATTTAAAAGGCCTTTCCCATTCCAGAGGTGACTTGAAGGGAAAACACACATACACAGCCAACTTTCATAAGATACACTTGTTACCTTGAGAAGGTCATCTACCGAGAACCCAAAGAGAAATAAAGAGGGTCACAAGAGGCAGAGAAGTCAGAATTTTTCCCTCAGGTCTTTGGAACCTCCAACAAAGCCAGCCTCCAAATTTATCAAGCCAAATACAGCCCAAGATCAGTGTGCCAAAAAGTGCAAAACCACAACCACTCCTATTTTGTTTTTGAAGTTTACCCTGTTTTCCCAAAAATAAGATCTATCCAAAAAATAAGACCTAGCATGTTTTTACACATGCGCCTAATATAAGCCCTACCTCCCCCAAAATAAGCCCTACTTAAGAGCCTGTGCAACTGGCCACCCATCCATTCTGGTTGCTTGCAGTGCCATGGCCAGGAGGTGACATGGGGAGGGGGGGAATTGCCCCATGCAACCCTACCAGCTTACCTGTCCATGCCCCGACACCTGCCTTGCAGTGGCAGCACCAGCAGCCATGTGCAACAGAAGCCCATGTGGCCACCAGCCCACTTCTGTTTACTCACAGCCACAAGGGAGCAGGAGGCTGAGCTCCACCTCACCTTGTGGCTTTGGCACCAGTGCATCACTCAGCATCCTGCTCTGTTGTATCCGCAAGTAAGCAGAAGAATTGAGTTGGTGACCACACAGGGTCCTGCTGGATGGAGCTGTTGGAACTACCGCCATGAGGTGAGGCAGGTGTTGGGATGTGGTTGGCCTAGTTGCGGGGTAACCTGGGGTGGCTCCACCCCCGCCACCTCACAGTGGCAGCCTTGGTGTGCTGCATGTCCTCCTACCCTGCTGCGAGCAAGCAGAAGAAGTGGGCCTCCCATATACAGGGGAAAAAAAAACACTCCCCTAAAATAAGCCCTACTGCTCATTTTGGGGCCCAAAAGAAAATAAGACCCGGTCTTATTTTCAGGGAAACACGGGTAACAAGCAGCACACTGTTGGGCTTTATCAAACCTCACGTGACTGGTGAGGAACATTCAACTCTGTGAATTCAACATTCCTAGATATCTGCCTCAAACGCATTCTTCACAATCCTGGTTGCTTTTCAGACTATATCCCTGAGGGAGCTGGGGCGGTGTTGACTGTAAACTGACGGATTATGGTGGAAAGGTTTTCACCGATAGCTTGCCTGCAGTTAATGATCGCATTTCCCTGCAGCTCAGCTATCTGCAGGAGAAACCTGGTTGCATTGTTGTGGAGCAGAGATGATGAGCAGGAGGCCTGTAGATGCTCCGAAGCTTCTGAAATCTAAGTGATTCCAAAGCAAAATGTTTAATTGTGGTTCTGTGGGCAAATCAAACGCAGAAAGGGATTCTGGTGGAAGAAGGCTGAACCTGTCACAGAAGGAATTCCACCGACAAGCTCCATATCAGAGCTTGATGGTTGTTCAATGAGGCTGGCTCCCTTCACCCCATGTTAAATTACTGGCATGTTCCCAGAATCCCAGCCTCCCACATTTTAAGGATATAAGAACCAACAAAGTCAGGTCTTCAGTTGAAGAAGCATCTCCATGGAGGTGGTGGAGAAACCCTGGGTGTTTTTTTTTTTAAATTGTTCTTGGCACAACCTTCTGAGCTTTCCAAGCTGTGAGGCCAACTGTGTAGTGTTTGCTGTGTGCTGTAGCAGTACTGTGACACAAATGCTGCTAGCATTAATAATAAGAACCTGACTTTTTTTCTTTGTTAGCTGTTTATTTTCCCCTTCTCCACGTCTCCCTGCCTGTTGCAATTTTTGGCCAACTGTTAAGCGTCACTTGCTCCAGGAAATGCTGTCGGTATTTAGAGGCTGCCCTTAACTCTTCGCGGCTTTGTATGTATATGCTAAGAAACCCTAACGCTATTTGAGGCTGGATTTGTATCACGCTTTCTCCAGCTGTGAGAACACAGCGGCAGGAGGAGTGGTGAGACTGTCATCAATTTATTTCAATCAGGAAAATGTTTCTCCATTTCATACCCAAAGTGACAAGAGAATGTTTTTGCTACCTACAAACGGACCGACTATGTGACAAGCCGGTAAAAGTTACTACAATTCTAGTTGCAGTCCTGCTACAAAAAGTTACTGCTATAACTACAATAATAAAGGTACAAAAACATGGAGAGAAATTACTTTTTTCCCCCTGAAGAGAGGCAGTGAAAGGTACCCCAATCAAGTGGCTCATAAGATATTAAATGATTAGATTGTGCTATAAGTACTGGATGGTAGAAATTCTCCACCAGCCATTTGGAAAGTCTATTCCTAGTGCCATTTTGTCATATTTATTCCCAAACTAAAGCTTAGTTCAAGGGTGCTTATTCTCAGATCAAAGGAATCTGGGCTGTGTCCCAACTTAAGAGAGAGAGAGCGATCGTTCGTGATTAACTACCTAAAATGAATCTATTTAACTTTACACAGCAAAGCTAGAGAGAAGCAGATGGTTTTGTTTTAATCTTTTTTTTTTCTTTTTCAATGTGGGAAATGTAATACAGAGGTCTTGTGTAAATTGGGTCAAGGCATTTTATTTGATGAGGCTAATCAGGTGATGGGTGAACACGGGCCAACTTTTATGAAAAAAAAGGGAGGTATTTTTTTAACCATATGGAAGAATGTTCTAACAGATGGGCATGTTATGTCACCTCCCTGTTGGCAGCTATTCTCCAGCATTGTTAAGAGCCATCTCCTCATTTTTTTTCTCCTAAGTACATAGCAAATCATGTGTTACCCTACACATTTGAGAGTTCATTTTATTCGCACCGATCCTCTTGTCCATTCTCAAATAGGAGCAGAACAACTTCGTTATGCGCCAAAGTACTTCTAAACCTCAACGTAACTCAACCGTTGAAGGAAAGGGATGGAGATAACATGGGAAAGGCTGTCCCAGTAAAGATTCTGAATACAAGCATAATCACTAGAATTATTATTGCTGGGATGCACATTTGGGACAACCAAACAGGGAATTTCTTTAGAATATGTTAAGCGGTGCTGGAGAATGGAATTCCAGCATCCCCTGAGCCGGCAAAAGTTTCCAAATATTTAGCATATTTTAATTTGTTGATATGCTGGTATAGGAAACCAGTTAAGTCCTTGACAGGAGAGTAAGCCTATTTACTATATTTAACTACTATAATCTAGATGGATTTATATTAAGTGCAAGTTTTAGTAGGTCCTTGGTACAGGTAATCCTCAACTCAGGACAATTGAGTCTGGATTTTTTTGTTGCTAAGTGAGATAGTTGTGAGTTTTGCATATTTTTTGATCTCCCTTGCCACAGTTGTTAAGTAAGTTACACCATTGTTAAGTGAATCTGGCTTCCCACTGAGTTTGCTTGTTGTGTGAGCTTGGGACATTGCAACCGTCATTAATATGAGCCAATTGCCAAGCTTCCAAATTTTGATCGTGTGTCCACGGGGATGCTGTAACAGTTGTGTGGAAAAGGGTCCTAAGTCACTTTTTTTCAGGGCAGTTGTAACTTTGAAACTGTAAGTTGAGGACTACCTGTATAACCTTCTTGAGCTTTGACTCAAAAAACAAAAACAAAACAGCCAACGATTCACGTTGGGTTCTAGGACTAGAATAGCCAATCCCTCTTAGAATGCGCTAGGACAGTGCAGTACTTGGGAGCACATTGGGAGTGAGGTGCAGAGGGAAACTCTAGCACCCATCTGCCACTCCCCAAAACTGCTACCCTCTTTCCCTAAGTTTGCATGACAGCTGTTTGCAGCTGCAGCAAATCTTGGAAAACTCATTTAAGGAGCTGCTGACTGAGCCCTTATTTGCCTTACCAAGCACTTTTTTTTTTTAACCAGAGTGGTGAACAAGCCTGAAAAATGCCTGCCACGTATGGAGCATTTTAAAACAATGTACCCTTTCTATCCATCGGGATCCTCAATAATATTAAGCAAGGGGTATAGGGCAGACTTGGGAAAGGGGGATAGAAATAATCTTTTCAAAAACCCAGGGATAAACTACAAATCATTTCCCGCCCACTGTTTTTTTTTATTTATTACGCCTTTAATTTTATAGCCCTTTCCCTCCAAGTCTGCATAATGTGAATTCAAGATACGTTAACGCTCAACGACCCCCCAAAGCACCTATTTAAGGGAAGGCGGCATTTGAAGTCATTGCAGAAAAAGATCTTGGTTTGATTTTTGGCAGCCTAGGAAGGGCTGCCAGAGATGCTTGTTTTCATGCTGAACAATGACTGCTGACTTTCTATATCGGGGGTGTCAAACTTGATTTCTTTGATGGCTACATCAGGATTATGCTTGACCCCAGGGGGCCCCAGCAAATTGGGTGTAGCCAGCTTGAAGTCACTCATGTCGGGAGGTGCCTAGGGGGCCCAAGAGCTCTCCCAGTGAAAACGGGCTCCCAAGCTCCATTTTCAGCTGGGCAGCCTCCTGCAACCCTCTGCCAGCAAAAACGGAGCTCGGGAGGGCTGCCCGCAGCCCTCCTGAGCTCCCTTTTTCATTGGCAGAGACACTGCGGGCCAGATCTAAGCACCCCACTGACCGGATCCGGCTCTCAAGCCTTGAGTTTGACACCCCTGCTCTAGATGTCTTCTCCAAATGATCCAACACCAAGTTTGCCTATGGTGCTAACCCATTATAGCCAAACTATAGGATGGCCTTTACTGAAGTGGGAGCTATTAAATAGGAGATCTCAAAACGACACCATTGATACATCTCTTTCATAGTTTTCAAACTGTGTGATCGGAGATCCCTCAATAAGGTCAGTTCTGGAGAGCAAGTCTTTCGGATGGGCGTCTTCCCTAGTCCCATTGTTTATCCTACAGTGCAAAGAAATGGGAGAATTCCCCAGCTGAGGAATTCTGGGAGTTAAAGTCCTAAAGTTGCCAAGTTTGGTGATCCCTGCCTTCAAACCTCTCAAGTTTTCGTGGTGTATTTGAAAATACATAGCTTCGTATATGATGTATGCCATGAAACATGCTGTAGAAGGTTTGCCAACATGTTGAAGGCTTTGGGGGTCTCGTAGGCACTGACTGTTTTATGTAGGAACTTACCCCAAAGGTAGAAGACTTAGAAATATCATTTTTATCTCCGAAGTTAATAAATTATTTCCTTCTTTCCAAGGCAATTTGGGAAGGTAGAATTTTAATGAAGATTGCAAAATAGCAAAAAGAGATAATCCCTTCTCAAATACCAAGATCCTACTTTAGTGTCCTTTGAACTAAAAGTCTCTTGCTGTTGGCTCTGTTGGCTGAGGACGATGGAAGTGGGTGTCCCAGCCATCTGCAAGGAGTGGAGCATCTGGTCTGCTCCTATCCTAATGACTTCAGGAAAGCATTTGGACATTTCAGGAATTGTCTGAGTCTTCAGCAATTCCTGTTTTGTGTGGGACCCGTCTAAGGATCAAGATCTTTGGCAGCGTTCCAGGCAGAAAGCATCAAGTCTTAGGAGGGAGGAATGTTTGCCTTGACTTCCTGGTTGCGAAGTAGCCTCACGGGTTGGCCATTTGACGATCACAGCCTCTTCCCCATCACCCTCCAAATTCTTGCATGTGGCTGATAAAATTTCAGCATGGCAGTCACGCAACAGCCCAAACTGGATTTAAAGTGATGCTTTTCCAGACTGTATGTATGATGCACGCTGTAAAATAATACCTGAAGCAAAAAATGTGCCGTGCTTACAGTGTGTATTAATAAACAAGAACCTGTGTTGAAACATGTCTTCTTTGGGTTTTATTTCTTTCTACCCTGCCTTTCTTATTTTTGATAAATAATCCAAAGTGGCTAAGGACCTTCTCTCTGCTTTACATTTATTTTCATCCTGCCTTTATCATTTTTATCAATAACTCAAGGGGGTGAACATATCTAATACACCTTATTTTCCTAACAACAACAACAACACTGCAAGGTGGGTTGGGTTGAGAAAGACTAACTTGGTCCTGCATCACCCATCTGGCTTTCATCCCTAAGGGCAGATTAGAACTCACACTTTCCTGCTTTCTAGCCTGGTGACTTAACCACTAGACCAAACTGGCTCCCAATAATCATGTTATTGTCCATCCCAACCCTTAAAAAAATCCACAATTCACTTAATGACTGGCAGATTCTGAGCTCAGCAGAAACACATAATTATACCAATCAGGAAGATGCGCAGTAGTAATCCATGTTTCTGCTTATTTTTTTTTCCATTTATGCCATTATCGAGATGATCAACAGGATTAATCTTTGCATGGGAGGACACCGAGGCTGTAGATGAGAGTGAAAATGAAAATAAATGAATAAATCCTGGAAGAAGCAGCAGCTAGCAAACCATGTACATATTGTTGCCAAGAAGAGTGCGGAGTTGTGTGTCTGAACTCACAAGGCCCTAAAAACCCATAATGAAAAAATATCTCCTTTAGGAGTTCCAGCCCAGGTTGGACGACTGCTCTTCTTTCCTCTCATAACCTTTTACGGATCAAAAAACAAAACTTTGGGCAGCTTTTAAAGTTATCATGTGCAGCTCTCTTGTCTCACCTGGCTTGCTCACCTGTCACTCTTAATTTGGGTAAATGTATTCTATTTAAAACACACTTTTCCATTTATCCTTGTGCTATCTGAGCTTGATTGTTTTCTTGCAGACATTTTATTACCCTAGCACTGAAGATGTTACCTCCTGCTCAAGCAGGGGGTTGGACTAGAAGATCTCTAAGGGCCCTTCCAGCTCTATTCTGATCGACTGGTTGATTAAATTTCTGCAAGAAAACAACCAAGTTCAGAGATCACCAAGATCACCCCACCAGTTCAACCCTGAGCTTGAAATATTTTCTTGATATTGAATCAGAACTAGTAATATTCATGTCATCTCCTTAAATTATATTATTGATATTAAAAGCAGGCTTTTTCAGGGGGGGAAAAGATGGGAAAGAATATATAAACATGTAGTTCAATGTCTAAAGAATCCTGTAGTAGTAAAAAGCTTATTCAGATATAGAAAAAGTACTATATTTCTCAAAGTATAATATATCACAGTTTTCATCACTGTATCTATTTCCACTGCCCTCCTAATCATTAAAAAAATAGTAATCGTTACCATTTTTAGATTTTACCATTCTAGGCACTGTAGTTCCAAAGAAAGTAGGATGTTAATTACAATGGGTTATACACAAGAGAATATGCAAGTGAATTAAGATTTGTATTATCAAGAAAAGAAGAACAGCTCTTTTTACACTCTTCATCAGATTTTCTAAAATCCCCACTTATTATCACAGAAGCTCAAGAGCTGAAAAACTCACATCACAACCTTAAGACTAGAGTCTATTTAGACCCATGTCTACCCTGTTTTCCCCAAAATACGAGCTACCCTGAAAGTAAGTCCTAGCTTGATTTTTACACATGCACCCAATATAAGCCCTACCCCCTAAATAAGCTCTAATTAAGATCCCGCCCACTGCAGAGTGGAGCTGCTACTTACCTTTGGGCAGTTGTAGCCAGGCCTCGCACACCCCAATATCTGTCTTGTTGGCCCATTTCTTCTGCAGTCAGAAAGGCTGTCAAGGCTTTCCTGAAGGCCTCTGTAGCTGATAACAAAGCTCCGGATCGATCCAGAGCTCTATTATGGGATGCAGAGGCCTCCAGGAAAACCTTGCCAGCCGCAAAAGAAGAAGTTCCTGAAGGCCTCTGACAGCGAAAATGAGGCCGGGGGGAACGTACACAAGTGAGGTTAGTTAGTGGATGACATCCCCCCCAAATAAGACCTAGTGCCTTTTTTGGCGGCAAAAATTATAAGACAGGGTCTTATTTTGGGGGAAACAGGGTATTAGAGAGAACACAGCAGTAAGATTCTTTTAATTTAATAATTTTTTAAAATAATCTCCAGCATTTTCAAGCTGTTAATTCAATGGATCACAAAATTTGCCATGAAATGAGAGAGGTCTTTTTAAATTCGCCATCTGAAATACTACACTTCAGTGTTATCCAAAGAACAATTATCCCATCCAAGCTTGGCATCTTTTTGGATATATCTCTAGGTGAACTGCGTGAAACACGGGGCAAAAACGGAGGTGGTTTCTTCCAGTGCTTTTGCCGATTTCTAATTGGAAAACGTGGGCAACTCAGATGCCTGGTCCCTTTTCAGCCTTCAAGGTATACATCACCCACCCACTCTTTCTATTCTTATTCGTTGCCGGTGGTTGCTATGTGCTACACACATGCCCTTTACAATCCGCTTGGAACAAAATCCTGGCAAAACGACAATTAGTCTGCAATTACCCCAAATGCTCTCTGCTGATATTATCCCACTAGAAATATTAAGCATTACATATTTTTAAACAATAGATGAAGAACTGGCTGGACTACTTGTTCCTCCTCCCTTCTGGAAGGACAAGTCAAGTTGTGGTTGAACACAGGACTCCTCACTAGCTGCAATTCCTAGGGTAGAGCTTATATTATTAACTACTCAAAACATGAACCTTCTCCCAAAAGAAGCCAAAAAAAGACAGTCAAGGTAAAGACAAAGGTTCCCCTCGCATATACATGCTAGGCGTTTCTGGATCTAGGGGGTGGTGCTCATCTCCATTACAAAGCCAAAGAGCCAGCGCTGTCCGAAGACGTCTCCGTGGTCATGTGGCCAGCAGGACTAAACGCTGAAGGTGCACGGAACGCTGTGACCTTCCCACCAAAGTGCTCCCTATTTTTCTATTTGCATTTTTTACATGCTTTCGAACTGCTAGGTTGGCAGAAACTGGGGCAAGGAATGGGAGCTCACTCCTACGCAGCGCTAGGGATTCGAACCGCCGAGCTGCCGACCTTTCTGATCGACAAGCTCAGTGTTTTATCCACTGAGCCACCACATCCCCTAAAAAAGACAGTACGATATATTAACTGCTGTATTTGCAACTTGGGATGCATTACTCAAAGACCTGACTCTTTGGAGAAGCTAGACTAGAATGCTACTCTAGAGAAAAGGACTGTGTGGGTGTGTGTGTGACGTGATAGCAGTATTTCACTATTTGAGGGGATGCCACAAAGAGGAGGGGGGTCAACTTATTCTCCAAAGCACCAGAGGGCAGGATAAGGAACCATGGATGGAAACTAACCAAGGAGAGAAGCAACCTGGAATTAAGGAGAAATTCACTAGCAGTGAGGACAATTAATCAGTGGAACAGGTTGCCTCCAGAAGTTGTAGGTGCTTTGTCAGTGGAAGTTTTGAAGAAGAGACTGGAAAGCCACTTGTTTGAAATGTTACAGGTAGTCCTCAACTTAAAACAGTTTGCTTAGTGACCATTCAAAGTTACAACGGCACTGAAAAAAAATGACTTCTGATCATTTTTCACACTTATGAGCATTGCGGCATCCCCATTATCCCCTTCTGTGACCTTCGGACAAGCAAGGTCAACGGAGAAATCAGATTCCCTTAACAACTAATTTATTAATTTAACAACTGCAGTGATTCACCTAACAAAAGTGGCAAGAAAAGTCTCAAAATGGGGCAAATTAACAAATTTCTCGGTAAGCCACATAAGTTCTGGGCTCTACTATACATATATGTTGAGGACTGGGTGTATGGGTGTCCTGCTTGAGCAAGGGGTTGGACTAGAAGACCTCCAAGGTCCCTTCCAGCTCTATTCTGAACAGAATTGGAGAAGGCTTTAATGCGGGGAAAGGTGGAAGGAAGGAAGGAAAGAAAGGAAAGGAAAGGAAAGAAAGAGAAAGAGAAAGAGAAAGAAAGAAAGAAGGAAAAGAAAGAAAGAAAAAGAGAAAGAAAGAAAGAGAGAGAGAGAGAGAAAGAAAGAAAGAGAGAGAGAGAAAGAAAGAAAGAAAGAAAGAAAGAAAGAAAGAAAGAAAGAAAGAAAGAAAGAAAGAAAGAAAGAAAGAAAGAAAGAAAGAAAGAAAAAGAAAAGAACAGCAGCAAGCTAGATTGGCTTATTGCTTTGAGTGCACTGTTGGAAGACTTCAATAATCAGATTAGGAGAGCTCATCATGGAAAAAAAATCTGTCTACTGTATGTGTGTCTAGGAGACAACAACAACTTGATGGCACAAAATCAAACAAATGAATTATGCTGTAACGATTGTACCTTTTACACAATTACACCTGAGTTATTGCTTGAAACTTGCAAGGAAGGATCTATTCATATTCTTCCAAACTGTGTATCCTTTCAAGTTTGAAATCTCAAGAACCATCCTTTTCTTACACAACCTCTTCTCCATGCGCTTAGAGCAATGTGCCTCAAACATCCTTTCGGTTGTGCTGCAGATACAATTCCTCCATTTTCCATTCTGCATGGTCACTGGCTGCATTGACTGGGTACTTTAATTTGAATTAATTGGGGAAGTCTGACTTCAGTGAGCCAATAATAGTCAAGTGTTGAAGTCCTTAAAAGCTACATTGATTAACTCCACTTTTTAATAGTTCCTTGCTAAGAAGGTCCTTCAACCATCCATCCAGTAGCTGAAGTCTTTTTAAAATAGTCACAGATCTGTTCTTGGTTCATTTCAAAGAACCAGGTTTTGAGTTACCTTTCTTCCAAGTTTTGAGTTACCTTTCTTCCAAGAAACCCAACTCCCAGAATTCCTGAGCTAACATGACTGGAGGAGGAATTCTGGGAGTTGAAGTCCACAAGTCTTAAACTTGCCAAGTTTGAAGAATTATTTTCTTCACCAAGTGCAGACTTCCAAAAAAAACACCACAGCAAATGGCCATAAACAGACAAGTAAACGCGCTTTCAAGACAGTAAAG